ATTTTGTACTTCCAGCTACTCAGAGTAAACATTTCATCAACTTTCAAATTCATTTATTATTTTATTTGAAAGCACTTATGAATAAAATGTTCAGTTCCAGCTCTTGACATTTTTACTGTCCATCAGGCAGCAATATGTTCCTACAGGTTCTCCTCCCAGTGTAAGCATTCTGTATGAGCATTTTATTTACATTCTGTGCCTTTTCATTTCCTCCTAAACCTTTTATGTTTAGGAATGAAACTGTATCAATGTTATGTAACAGTTTTTTAAATCCGCAGCTTCTCTCTCCCTTTAACACACATTTCTGAAAAAACACACACAATGCACCCAAATAGAAACAAACTACCTTGGGATATTTACAAAGAGTATAAACACTGAAAAAAATAGTCACTAGACAGTTGTGTGAAAGGTAAACATGTGTCTGTCCTTGCTGACAGCAATCCCTGTGATTTACTCACAGCGATGGGTACCAATCGGCATGGGAGGTCCTAGGGCTGCCCACAAAGTTGGTAACCCAGAGGAAATCAGGGCTTCAAGGTTTATTTAAATGTAATGTGGTTAAAAAACAAAAACTAAAAGCAAGCAAACAAAAATCTGGAAAAAATGCACCAATTAGCGCCTCCTTGGCAACTCAGATCCAACCAAATGACTGATGTATGATTAGAATAAAGCTCATCCTTTCTCTTTCAACTAGACTAATAAAACCGATAAATTGTGTTTGGTCAGGAGAGCAGAGAATTACTAGCAGCTTCCTTTCCTACTTTTTAATATTCTATTCCTTCCCCAAGAGCTGGGCATCCACGGCCATTTCATTCATCTATTGCCCCGGTGATCGCCTGTTTTCAGGCTGGCCTGAGAGGACGCAGCGTCCTGGGTGGAGAAGAGGGTCGGGATCCCGCCAAGTCGCCAGTCCTCTGAAGGTGGAATTGTCAAGTTCTTAGGTTTGCTTATTCAATTCCAGGGCTTCAGTGGGGGGATCAGAGGAGACAAGTGGATCTGAACGGATGCATGGGGTGTGCCCTGATGGGGGGGGGGTTGTCGTTGTCCCGGCCTCTGTCTCGGAGTATGGGGGGGTATGTCCCCCGAGGTGGGGGTATTTGTCCCCCGGGTGGAGGGGCCTGACCCCCGAGGTCGGGAGGTCGGTCCCCCGGGCCTCTAGAACCAGCGTCCTCCCCATCGGCGCCGTCCCCAGGCCCGCCCTCCGCCCATCCAGCACGCATCCCGAGGTCCCCAGGCCGCTCGTATGCCGCCGGCCTCCTCATCCCAGCCGTGCACCTCGGGCGGCCGGCCGATGCCCCCCGCGAGGACCCCTCCCGTCCCCTGTCCACGCACCTGCGGCCCCGCCCCCGGATAAACGCTGAAGTGGCGGCGGCCGGCTGGGGCTGGGGAGGTCCAGTCCCCTGCCCTGCCTTCCCTCCCGCCCCCCAGGCTCAGCCACCGAGCTGCCGCCGCGCTGCTCCGCAGCCGCCTGGCTCTCTAAAGGGGTCCGACTCCGACACCACAACCAAATGGCTGAGCCTCCCTGGCCCGCTGCGCAGCCTGTCCATTGGACCCTCCCCGCCCTGCCGCCGCCTCCATTGGCTCGTGTCGGAAGGCTCTGCACGGGATTGGATCACGCCGCCGTCGCTCATCCTTGGAGCCACAGATCCCGCCTCCCCGGCGATCAGGATAGTGTGCGCCGCGGGTGCTGGGGGCTCGAGAACCGAGCGGAGCTGGTTGAGCCTTCAAAGTCCTAAAACGCGCGGCCGTGGGTTCGGGGTTTATTGATTGAATTCCGCTGGCGCAGGAGTCTCTGCAGAGAGAGAGAGAGAGCGCGAGAGATGGAAATGGATAAACGGATTCATTTAGAGCTGCGGAACAGGACGCCCTCTGATGTGAGCATTTGCCAAAAATATCTCTGTCGGTCCGTTCTCCTACTTTGTGTTGTGTGTGCGTGTGCGTTTTGGGGGAGAAGCCACTTTTTTTGGAGGAGGCGGCGGGGAGATGCGGGGCTTGAGGGGTCGGACTGCAAATGAATTGCAAGGTTGGATGAGGGGGTGTTGCAATGCCATCAGAGCCTGTTCCGGCCGCCGCGGCCGCTGCCCTTGGTGTGACTACCTGTGCGTGTGCTCCCGCGGGTGTGGGTGCCAGGGTGTGCGTGCGAGTGTGCACCTTCGGGGGCCGCCGGGGCGCACGCGCTTGGGTCGGAGGGAACAGGGCGATCTCAGCCTCCTCGGTGCTCGCGGCTCCCACGACTCCTGTCTGGGTGGAAAAGATGAAGGAGGGGAGGAGGAGAGGGGCTGCCGCCTGGATCGAACAACAGAAAAAGAGGGGGGTGTCAGATTTTAGAAATATGCCCCCTTTCCGCCCCCTCCCGCGCTCGCACCCTCCCTCAGGTCTCTCTCGCGCTTGCTCGCTCGCTCGCTCGCACACACAATAAGTTTCGGGCTTCGCGAGTCCGGTTTAGTTTCTGATCAATGTGGGCCGAGGCCCCCGGGGAGAGCGCCTGGGGAGGGGGCCGCTGCGGAGTTGGGAAATGGCTCGAGTTTAAAGTGCGTGTTCATTTCTTTGCGGTGATGAGGCGAGAGACGCGGGAGCCATATTTGTAACTTTGTAGTGTTCGTGAACGCGCCCTTTCTCTCCCTCCCTCCCTTTCTCTGCCAGCCTTCCTCTCCTCCTTTCTCCCTCCCTCTTTCCACCCCACCTTTGGGCCAGATGCTACCGTTTCTTCCTCTTTCCTCGCCAAGGGAGGATAAATTGGAAGCAGGGGGAGGGTTTGTGGAGAGGGCAAAAGGCACGGATAATCCTCGCGCCTCCCCAACCTCGGAGCGGTCGCTAGTGTAAGTTGCCCAAAGGCTGCGTCCCGGTGCGCCCCTGGCCCAGTGCTCCTTCCTAAGATGCCAGCCTGGGCATGCTGGTGCCCCCTCCGTATCAGTGTCCCCCGATCCCTGCATCTCCCCGTATGGGCTTCCCGGCAGCCATTCGGCGCCTACTTAATAAATGGGCACGGGAAACTTTGTCAGGACGCGAGCTACCCTGAGCTAGTGCTGCGGTGGGAACTGGCCGGTCCATATGAATGCGGGCAATGCAGACACGCAGCTCCGGGATGGGGACTTCACCTGGCTGTTGCTGTTATGGACCGGGCACCTGGCAGGAGTAGGGCAGGAGGAAACTTACAAGGCTGGGAACAAGGAGACTGGGCGCGAGCCCACCGAGGGGAAGTGAGAGTGGGTGATCCGAACACTCTTGTTTATTTTTGTCGCCCTGTAGCTCTCAGACTAGTGTTTTCTGGGAGTTGGCAGCTCGTCGGAGAGACCCTGGGGTCTTGGGTGGAGACCCTGGTCGGCTCCCCTCTAGGCCCGTCGTGGGGACCAGGGGCGCGCTAGTGGGAAGAGCCCCAGATCCAGTCTGGGTGGCCCGGGTTCTAGCGAGTTGGGAGTTTGGACAGCCGGGTGCGCGGACCTGTCGCCCCTCCAGCCTGTGATCAGCCCAGGAACCCTGACAAAGGCAGGCCTAGCTTCCTCTTTTCCCCTAGTTCCTCCACTTAAACCTGAGTGAGAGTTTTGAAAACAAGATCCTTTCTGTCGTCCGCCCAGCATCACGCAGCTGTGGACTGGAGACGTGCGAGTGTCTGATGGCGCGCAGGGCGGGGAGCGAGGGCGGGAGGAGCTGCGGGGGGAGCAGGACTTTCCCCGGACAGTCTGCTGCCGGTCTGCCTGGCTGGGCCTGTGGGGTGTCCCGAATGGGGACCCAGGTGGCCGGTCCTGGCGGGGGGGTGCTGGGCGTGGTGCTGGGGGAGGGGGCCGCGGGCTTGGCGAGTACTTTCCGGAAGCCCCCTCCGCGGAGTTGGGGGGCAGGGCACCGTAGGAGGAGGGGATCGAGGGTCTTCACTTGTGGGCCCGGGGTCGGACCCAGCGATCTACGGTGTTGGGCGACCTGGAGCGCGACGCAAAGCGGGTGGAACCGGCTCTTTAAACTTCCCCGAGTGTGTGCGCGGGGGAGGGGCGCGGCGCGCGGGGCCCGGCGCGATTTCTCACGCTTCGCCCCCTCGGCGCGAGTCCTCTGCCCACTCGCGGGCCCTGGGGTGCTCCAGGCGGGGTTCGGCGCACGGGTGGCGGGGGTACTTGCTGCACATGGGGGGGAAGAGAGGGGAGAAAGCTCTCGAAAGAGGGACAAAAGGGGTGGGGGAGGAGGAACTGGCTATTTTTTGTTGTTGTTGTTGGTTTTTTTTGAAAAGAAAATAAATGTTTCTGGAGAAAAAAACCCAATGGCTCTGGGATGCCACCCTCCGTGGGGTCCCCCCCTTTCCATGCACCCACCTTAGGCAACCTGTCTTCCCAAGGCGCATCCCGGGGGCCGCAACGCCGCGGATCTAGGACGAGCAGCCATGTTTCCTGGGGCTCGGCTGGCCCGCCCCTCCCCCACGGCGCCGCCGGGGCTCTGCGGGGACCCAGCTGAGACCCGACACCCTCCGGCGGGGATCCGGGACGCGCGGGCTGAGCGTCCGGGTGCCAGAGCTCGGGGACCCGGTCCTGGAGGGAGCGGCGGGGTGGGATGCGGGATGCGGGATGCGAGCGGATCTACGGGACTGTCTGTTCTCATTATTTCCGTGGCTAATCCTGCTGCGAGGAACCAGTCCCCTGGCTCCCGGGCGGTCTCGGGGTGCAGAGGCGGCTGCCCGGGTCTCTGTGCGCCTATGGCACGACTGCCGGGCGCCGGGCTGCCATTTTGTCACCGTGGCTGTTGTCGCGAAGGCGGGGGGGGGGTGGCTTGCGCCATCGCTTGGGCAGCCGGCCTGCTGGGAGGTGGCGGTGGGGGGAGCTGGCCCCAGGGGACCCCCTCCCCACATCCCATGTGTGCTTTCGGCCCCTTGGGGCTTCCACCCTAGGCCTCTAGCTTCCAGAAGCTGTCGCAGCCTGGTGAGGGTGACGATCCCCTTGGCAAGCCCTCCCTCCAATACGCTGGCTCTCAGTCTTCCCAACCCCCAACACACTCCTCTCGGTTTTCTGATGTTGCTCGCTCTGAGCTCCTCAAGTAGTGAAATGTGGCCTTGAGGAACCGACCGCCCTAGCATTTGCTCTTTCGGCGGAAGTGATTGGGTGATGGTTGGGCGGGGGCCGCGGGAGATGAATCAGGAGGTTTTGGCAGGCGGTAGGGGCTCGTGCAACCAACTCTGGTGGTGGCCCCAGAACCGCAGCTTCTTACCCCGGAGGGACGAGTTGTTGGGATGCACCCGGGAAACGCCCTCCCGGGCTGGGCTCTTGGGGAAGGTAGGTCGAGTTCTATGTTTCAGGTGGGTGTCGTAGCACCTAGCAGGCTGGGGGAGTCCCCTCACTTAATCCTTCCCAAAGCCTTTGCCTTTCCATTTTTGCGGGGAGGGGTAGTTGGCCGCTAGCTACATAGTAAATGCCACCCTAAAACAAAAGAAAAAGAATAGGGCTTACGGGGGGGGGGTAAACTATCTTTTGTTGTTGACTTAAGATCCAGGCAAATTTGTTCACAGTGCTGGCCTCTCTATGGGACTTATAAAAAGTCGGTGGTGGGCTGGTGTCTACAGACACTTACTTTCATGGCAGTGCCCTGTAAAGGCTGCCTGGAAGCCAGAGTCTTTGACCTTTGGAATGCATTGCATGTTTTTTTCCAGGCTGATTTACTGCCTAATTGGGTTCAAGTAGCCTGGTATTCGGTCCAGCTTATGCAAGCAGAGATTCAGGGGCAGAGCACCAAGAGACCTCGATGGTGGTGATCATTTGAGTCTTGTTACTGACACAGCTGCTGCTGGTGTTTTTGAATCAATGCTTCATGATGAGGCAGGCCTCTGAAGCCACACAGACCTGTCATGCACAGCAGATTACCTTCCTTTACCTCTGAACTTGTGCCAGGCATCCTATAAGATGGGTTCTCTTGCTTAATCAATAAGTGATAAAATTGGTTTGATCTGGGGCTGAAGAGAGAGCTCAGAGGTTAATAGCAATGATTGCTCTTGCAGAGGACCCGGGTTTGATGCCCAGCACCCACATGGTGGCTATGAACTGTCCTTAAGTCCAGTTCCAAGGGAATCTGAAGCCCTCTTCTGATCTCACATGCATGCACTCACACACATGCAGGCAATATACTCATACACTAAAAATAATAAAATATTTTCTTAAAAATTGGTTTGATCTGGGCCTTAGCAGGTGCTTAGTATAATCTCAGAATGGTGTAGGGGAGTGGTGACTTCTAACTTTGGGTTTGGAGGGTTTAGAATAACCAACAATAATAGCGGATGGTTGCATAGCTGTGCTGTGTCTGGCACTGTGTTAAGTAGATTACACAAAGCAGCACTGTGTTAAGTTCTGTTTCTGTCTTTATATTAAATGTAAGGAAGCCGAGGCAGAGCTGTGGATCACCAATGTCTAGTAAGGGCAGAACCAGGATTTTAACTCAGTTATATTCAACCTCTATACTGCCCTGAAGCACCTTTTGTTTTTTAGAAGACACCAGTTAGAGCAGAGTTTTTCCTCCAGCCTTGAAATGATGCCACCTTAGAAAGAGGATAGGTTTGTTGGTATTGATAATGAGGGCATTAAAACAGCATAGCCTCCTGGTTGAAGGTCTTATGTGGAGCAGACACAGGTACCCATGGGCTGGCATTTTAAGGGGAGGCCCTACTCCAGGTTAGTATACATACATCTTTTTAGGATGCAATGAATCTGACCTTTTAGATCTTGGGGAACACTTGGAATAACCAGGAGACAGACAGGTGCCAAACTTAGGCATTGGCTTATATGAGATCTTGCATGTAATGTATTTCCTGTTTTTATTAGCCTCCATCTACAGAAAACAATGAAACTGGGCAGAATAGGCAGGAATGTGCATAGGCTTTTGTTATAAAAGCCCCTTATGTGTAGTGCTCTCAATTTTGCTTCTTGGTAAAGTTTACTCTCTGGATGTTTACAGAAAAGATTTGTTCCACAGGCTAAGGGGAGGGGAGCTGAGGTTGGATGCTTTGTTCTTTTAAGCATGTGGCAAATCATACATTCAATGGTGCATTGCAGCTCTTTCCAAGACCCTTAAACTAGCCTGAGCTACTTTAAATCAACCTCAGTTCACCAGCCTCCATAAGAAAAGTTGTTCTTGTTCCTGGCTCCCTGTTGAGTGCCCCTCTCATCTTAGAGGTAGACAGAAGGAACTTCCAAGGTTCTGGCCTTGAGGCCTGTTGAAGGTGAGGCTGTCCTCCTGTGTACCCAGCAGCTGACATCAGGGTAGCACAGATGACTGAAAATCCTGGGTCACCCTGGCACCCCCAGCTCTGGTCTGCTGCTCCTCTACCATGCACATCTCCTGGGAAGACAACCTGCAGTAAAGGCTTTGAGTTCAGAGCTTCTGTTCCAACTGCAGCTTCTCATGCCTGAGCTAGTGATCAGGAGGAGTGGATGGAACATGAGAAGTTGAAGGAAGGAGAATCAAAGATGAATTCAAGGGAATAAACTCTAGTTCCCATAAGGGTCAATCACAGACCCTGTTCCCTGTCTTGGCTGGGGCTACACCACCAGCCTCTCAAGGTGACTTACTCTGGTTTTGCGCAGCTGGCAATCTTTCTCATTTGCAGTACTGTGGGCACTAACTGGGCACTAACTTGCTGTAACTGGGAGCTGTTGGCATCAGTAGACTGCTCGCTCATCCCTCTTCCATCTTTACCATGGTCCACTCACTTCCAACAGGAGCCCAGAGCGTGTTGCTGAGTAGTGATTGGGGTCTGAGGGAGTGAGCTTGACCCAGCATTCTGGCCTGAATTCTGACTTGGTAGAAGAGGAGGCTTGTTGCTCTGGTTGTCTGGAAGGGCCCTCCCCATAGAGACATCCTTTTTTGGTCTATGCACTACGTGCCGCGTAGCTGGCTATCTAGTCTCCTGGGACCTACCCTCCACCAGTGTCCAGTGCTGCCACCTGCTTCCCACAGACAGGTAGAGAATAATGAACCTGCCTTGAGTCCTATGTTACATTGGAATGTTATGTGGAAGGCAGTGATGTTTGCATTAAAGAGAGGGCTGCGGCCTGGATGGATGTCTGAGAAGGCACCTGTGAAACGTCTCATTTAATAAAGTTGGTGTTGGTTGAAGCTGGATAAACAACCTACCCTTCAGCCACTGTCCCTGACATGTCCCGTTGTATAGAACAGATGCCCAGGTGATGCTCTTATATGCGTTCTGTGTACCAAGCTCTGTCTTCTGCCATACCCTGCAACTCAGAATTTCCCCTTAAACTGACTTTGTTTTAGCTCCATACTGCAGCCCCCCCCCATTCTACTGTTTCCTTTACCAAAACTTGCTCCATGCATCAAGTTACCCTACTAATTACTTGAGTTGGACTCATTCCTTTTTCAGCTTGTTTCTTCCCCATCTAAAATGGGGGTGGTAGTGCTGGGACTTGGGATGTAAGTCATCAGGTAGAATGCTTGTCTAGCATACACAAAGCCCTGGGTTCGATGCCCTGTACTGCATAAACCAGATATCATGGCTCAGGCCTGTAATCCCAGCACTCACCAGCAATCCCAGCAGTCCAGAGCTGGAAGCAGGCCGATCAGAAGTTCAAGGTCTACAAGTGAGTTCAAAGTCAGCGTGGGTACATGAAATCTTGTCCAAATAAATAAATAATAAATAAACAAATAAATAACATGGGTTGATGCGTTGGATTAGTTATGTTTAAACCCAGTAGTTACAAATATGTGTCACTGTTGCCCAGCACATGCAGACATATATGTTATTTTGAAAACATGTTCCCTTATGAGCTGTGACACTCCGATTCATTGAAAGGAAAATATGCTAGCTTAGACCCATACATTGATTTCATTCCTTGTTAATATTTGAAAGACATTAAAAGATAGATATTAAGGTTCCTTCCTACTTAAATATTTTGTGGTTTGGTTTGGAGGTGGATGGTGCCTTTCAGAGCTTTGTGAGATCTCTGCAAGGAAGGAAGTGTGCTTTTCCTTGTTTGCTTAGCACCTACAGTTGAGCCCCCTGGTTTCCTGCTGCTCCCCTTACTTCTAGCTCTTGTCTCCCTGCAAACAACCCCATGGTAAAAGTAGTCATTAGCTTAAGTGCCTACCCTAGATGGAACCTTCCAGATTCCTAGTTGTGCTGGTGGCCCTACCCTGAACCTTTTTGTGAGCATACACTATGAAGGTTGCCCAAGGCACTCACAATTTCTCACACTGAGTCAGAAGATTGTTAAGAGGAGGTGCCTGATGTGTGTCTATCTCCCCCACTTCCACTATTTGGGCAAGACCCTTCACCTCACAGTGCCTCTGTCTGTCATTAAAGTGAAGCTGTCATAGTACCTCCCAATAGTCTGATGGCACAGTCAGCATTCAATAAGCATGAGTGATTACTCCTGGAGTGCTAGGATGTGGTAGCTGGCTGTCACTTTAAAAAAAGAAAGAAAGAAAAGGGTCTGGGGAGATGGCTTGGTGGGTAAAGCACTTGCCACACAAACCTGAGAACCTGAGTTCGAATTCCAAGAGCCCACATAAAAACAGGAGCACCTGTAATCCTATTGCTCCTCTGGGATAAGCTAGGGGCACAGAGAGGAGAATCCTGGAAGCTTGTGGGCCATCTAGCCTGGGTGAACATGGGGGATAACAGAGACCCTGTCTCCAACAAGTGGAGGTTGTCCACTGACTACACATAGGTTGTCACACACACACACACACACATACACACACACTCACTCAATCACTCACTCAGACACATTACATTAAAAAGTAGCATTCATTTCCCTGGGAAAGAGGTTAGACCAACTTGCTAGAAGTTGCTTCTCCCTAGGAGCAGTTCAGTAGCCACTGCAGACCTGGGAACCCAATGTGCCGTCTGTAGATGCAGCTGCAGTGTTGCAGAGCATCCCGGCACTCGACCCCCATGTACTGGTTTGTGTGGTGGGCTGTGTTGCTCTGAGGTTCCCTGCGCAGTTCTTTTTCTCACCGGAAAACTGCTGCCTGGTCCTGCACCCTCTCCCTCCCAGCCTGAGACAGCCTCCTCAAGGAGATCTGAAACCTAATTTCCTCTCCATTCCCGTCCCAGCTCAGTGGCTCTTCAGTCCCTTCATCTTGTGCTCACTGGCTGCAGTTTTTTTTTAAAAGGACATTTATTTATCTGTGTGTATGTACATGTGTGAGAGAGAGCACATACCCTGGTACACTTTTGGAGATCAAAGAACAATTTGCAGGAGTTGGTTCTCTCTATCATGTGGGACCAGGAATTGAATTCAGGTCCTCAGGCTTGGTTGCACGC